GTGCATTCTCTATCTTGCCTCGGGAGTAAGGGACACAATTAGTTCTATTATAAATGTACTTAACTGCTAGTCAATATGCACACCAGAAGAAATAAAATTTTGGGGACTATTTCTCTTCAGCGCTCGCTGTTTGTCTCCTTGAAACTGTGACAATCCGCAATTGGTATCCAAGTCCTGTTGATTTCTGGGCTGTTGTCGACGCTGCTTGCAGAATATGACCGGAACTGTCGTTTTTGGTCGGATCTTCAGCCTCTCGATTTTTGATCGTCGTATTCTCGCGGCACTGCACTATGTGTGTTTCTCGCTGGAATTTTTAAAACGCGTCCAATAAAAGAAAAAAAAATTTCGACTCTTACCGTACCCCACACTTAGCATCAAAAGTGTTACGTGGAAAAAAGATTAGTGAGGAGGTTCGTCGCGAGAATGATCAATACTTAATTCCTTAAAAATCTTTATTCCAGATACCATATTTATAAGGCAAAGTCGCGCGTGTGTTTCCGTTCAAGGCTTGTCGTATGTCCCCTAATTATCGCCTGGCCTCTCGGTTTGGTAACGCTCCTCTGCCTTGATAGCACTCGACTGCCCCGATTTGAGGCCGACGGGCCTTATATGCCCTTGTTCCTCTTCTTTCGGTGCCCTCTGCTAGAATAGCCTCGTTTTTACCAGCGCAGTCAGTATGATATGCCCAGCATATCGTATGTAACATTACATTCTATCGCACTGATTACTGACTTTTTCAAATCTCATAAAACTTAAAAATAAAGTATTTATGGTTGATTTTTGATTGTTTTGAATGTGAAACCATTCGAGACGAACCGCATAGTTTTTCATTTAGAGTACTGAATTACATTTGTATTTTTCATACGTAATGTCACTGTTTATCACTAACCTGTAAACAAGTTTTGATAAAGATATTTTGTTTGGTTTCAAATCATTTTTTACCGTAGTATTAGTATCATACGAAGAAAAATCCAAAATACTGATACATAGCTATGTAATGAACAAAAGAAATACTATTTGAAAAATATACTGATTATGTTGAAGAAATCGTAATATTACAAAAGTTAATGATTTACAAAAAATTGAAGAACAAAAATTAATTTCAGAAAGATTTTTGACGATTAATAGACAGCGGTTATTGTTTTTTTTAGTAGTGTTTGGTTGTTTATAATTTTTTAATTGGACTCATGTACCTAAATGCAAGCAGGGTACTTCTGAATAAGACCTTAAAAGCATGAGCTCTAGAAATTTTTGGTACTGGTGGTGATAAAAAAAATCTTTTTGCCAGTTCTCTAGATGTTCTATTCTGGTCTTGTTTAGTGTAGTAAAAAATTTTTATGTTCAGAAACTTATTCTCCACCCAGTTGAATAGTTGATTAGAATTTATAATAACTTAAATTTCTTTGTCGAATGAGCTAGCACGTGATGTTTGACTCTTAAATGTTGCATCTACTCTATCACAAACTCCCTTGCCGTGCGCCGTAGCATTAAAATGCCATTCTGCTTAAAAAAAATCGTCCTGACAGTATACTAAGTTGTTCATTTGTTACCGGTTATTGAAACGCTGCACTGTTCTATCTGACACATGAAAATATTTCAATATTTTTGAGCATTGCAATAGTTTCTCCTTTAATGAAATTTGAAATTGTATTATTTGAGAAATATATACATGAATTATATGTTGCTAAAATTATACTATACATAACTGTTAACTGATAACCTAAGTTAATTATTAGGAGTTTCCTATCCTTTTCAACGCCATTTAGGATCCACCATTTTAAATTTATGTACACCTGACCTTGGATTCGTAGTC